AAAAAAAAAAAAAAAAAAACCCAAAAAACAAAGGTGGAATTTCTGGGTTAAATGTCATGTGTATTTTAAATGTGAATGGATATTGACAAATTGCTTTCCAAAAAGCTCCATAGTAAATTCCCACCTCCGGTAGCAATGTATAGAGTATGTTTTTCCATTCTTTCCAGCGCTTACATTTGTCTTCTGTCACATTTACTCTGCACCTTCCAAAAATAGCATCTCTGCATCTTCCAATAATAGCATCTCTGCATCTCTACACATTTGTACATATTGTATACCCTTTGCCACACCTAGATGTTATATTGCTTCTCTCCTGCCTGGACAGCTTCTACTTGACTTTCAGAACCCAACAAAAATGCCCCCTAATTTGGGAAGCTTCCCTAGCACCCCAGAGAATCACCTTGCTTTCATCTCCACTGCCTCTGTTCTCTTCGTGGTCCTCTCTGCCAGCCCCATCATTGGGCACTAATAGGATTTGGGTGTGTAAAATCTCCCCTCCAAGACTCTAAGCTCGTAGAGGACAAGGGACATACTACAATCTTCTTGGAGTCCCCTGTGCCAGAAAATGCTCATTTATTAAGTGACATTACAATGAAGCTTTTCTACAAATATCTGTTGGATAAGGGAAGGGTTTTTTTTTTTTTTTTTTTTTTTTTTTTTTAAGAGACTAATGATTGTAACTGTTCGGGCAGGGTGAGGCAAGAGGAATGTACAGTTACAGAATCTGTGGACAAAGAATCTTGGGGCCAGAAGCAAGCCCGAGGGCACTGTGTAGGCCTTGATCAGTTTAGCAATTTCTGCGATTCTGACATCCTCTCTCTGTTCTTTCCGGACTCAGGCATCCAAGGTCACCTCATTATGGCACTGTGCGAAGACAGCACCCCAAAGGGGCCATCGATTTGGAACATCTGATCGGCTTTCTGAGTCAGATCCACTAGCTCGTAAAATCCAATAAATGTCAAAGATATGTCAGGCCCATTAGCCTCTGGAGGTCTATTAAAAGACTCTGCTTCTGCTAAGGAGATTCTGTTACTGTCACATGGACACCAGGGCAGCCAATTCTAAACCCTTGAATTTAGAAAGTTAGGAAGGAGATACGATTTCACATGGGATCGCCTGGTCTCTACTGGTTTTGTCAGAAGACTCTGCCCTTTCTTCCACTCAGACATACAGAGCATCTGTTGGCGTGACCAGCTCTGTGACAAGTATGTGGGGGAAACATTCTAGAACTTCTTTTCCTGCCTCCAAGAAAATTAACCCAAACCCTCTTCATAATACTGCATGAGCATTTCTTCCTTACAGTCCCATACAGCACTGAAGCATTATTGTTTGCTTGCATGTGAGTCCTCTCTATTAGACTATGGCTTCCTTAAGAACTGAGTGTCATGATTTCTTGGTAAGAATCAAGAGAAACCCTGACCTAAATTATTATAGGCAAAAATAAACCTGCTTAACACATAAAACCAAAAAGTCCAAAGGTAAAGTTGGACTCAGGGACCCCAAAGGTGTTATCAGGAGTCTCACCTCCATCTCGTGGCTCTGCATTCCTCTGTGTTGGTTTCATCTGCAGGCAAGCCGTCCCCAGCCACAACAAGACGGGAACTGGTAGATCCACATGATGGCAAGCCTGCCTTCAGCAGCTCCAGGCATCCTGCTACCAGCCTAATACCCCTGTGAGAAAGAATTTTTATTTTTCAATAGGGCCAGTGGATGTCCCAGGCTAATTCTTGCTGGCCCAGCATGGGTCCAGTTGCCAGTTCCAGGGTATTCTTTTTGCAAAACAGTTACCATGTTGTGTTGTAATTCCTGCTTTTCTTGCTAGTTTCCCATTCAGAACTGTGAGTTGCATGATGGTTAAAACCAATTCCATCTTCCTAGAGTCTAGTGTAAGACCTGGCACACAATAGGTGCAAAAGGCAGCCACTCCCAAGGCCCTGCCGAGAGCTGCCAGAGCTATAGGTTGGCCCAAGGCTACAAGATCCTTCAATATTGCAAAAGCACCAAGTATTCTAAGTCCCCAGTTTTGGGAAGAAGGCAGGTGGGGATGCCAAATCCGACCTGTGTGTGGGAGGAATTAATGGAACTAACATTGTCAAAGGTCTCCTGTGCATTAGGCACTGTGGAAGTCCACTTGCACAATATCGTATTTCCAAAGTGGTTGCAAAAACATCCCCAGCCTCACATGTTCTTTTGCGGAGACTCCTCTGCATTGGCTATATCAGGAGGTAGAGTCCATTTGTCCTCCTCTGGAATCCTTAAGGATCCCAAGGAATGTGAGTGCTCATAACAGCACTCACACCTGTTACAAGCAATACGCTATGATGAGGCGACACTGGGTAACTTCTGAAGGTGAGCCTTGGGAGAGATGCAGCTTCCATCTTTGCCTCTTGGAATACCCCTCAGTGCCATGCTATGAGGAAGCACAAGCAGCCTTGTGGAGAGGCAAGGAGGAGAAGCCTGGCTCCTAAGTGACAGCTCCAGCTGAGCTCCCAGCTGGCAGCCAAAGCCAACCGCCAGCCAAGTGATCCAGGACATTTGGACTTTCCAGCTTTCCCAAGGCCCCCACTGGCACCATGTGATACAAACCCAGTCAACTGACAAAATCACAAAACATCATAATTATTAACTATAATAATAATTCTTAAAATATCATTTTCTTGTCAATTCTACAGAAACAGAGACTCAGAGATGGTAAGCAGCTTTCTTCAACTCACAGTTTTGATACGGTACAGCCTCAGACATCCAGCCAGGATGTCTCGGGACACTTGTTTGCCAGCAGTAGTGGTAGAATGGAGGAACAGAAAGGCAGACCTATTATTGCTTTAGCAAAATCACCAAAATGCATTTCAGAGGCAGGTACTGGGTGTGTATTGAATTTTTGGAGCTAGAACAGTAGCCTGATCATGAGAGACACAGTCTGCATGTGATGCAATTGGGGAGGGGGGTCTCTGGCAAACAGGAGAGATCTGCCCCTTCTAAAAAGGCAGCCACTACCAAGCCCTTACCTAGGGCTGCCAGGACTGTAGGCTGGCCCAAGGCTACCAGATGCTTCAATATTTCAAAAAGCACCCAGTATTATAAGTCCCTAGTGAGTTTGAATTGGGAGAAAGGGGATTGGGGAAGACATCTGGGTGCCAAATCTGACCCAAAGAACCTCACTTCTTCACTTTCTTTCAAGAGAAACATCCCAGTTTAGGGCTCCCACAGGGAAACATACCCACTGTCTTTGTTCTGATAGGACAAAAGCAATTTTCGTTTCACTATAAACTCCATAAATGGTTGCAAAATGTCCCAATTTTTGTCCATAGTTAAGATGATTCACTGGGGACTCCTGGCCCATCTTCCACCTCCCAACAGGCTTTTGCTCCTCTTCTCTTCGCTTTGGTCATCGCTGCTTCCCAGGGAAGGCCGGTCGGGGGAGAGTCTGTGTTGAGAGGCAGGCAGCTCCTCTTTTCCTAGAAGTGGCCAGCCATGGGCAGATGCACCCAGCTCCAGTCCCACCTGGAGCTTGGGCTGACCCGCCCTGCCTGCCAGGCCCCTGAGAACCTGGAGGGATGTCACATTCTCTCCCCACAAGGGACCGGATGGTGCCATCCCAAGCCATGGTGAGAGAGCTGAAAACATCCCATGGAATGACTTCACTCACTGGGTCCAGGCCCCAAGGCAGAGACCTCCCTAGGGAGACAGAGCCAGGCTTACAGCAGCTTCAGAGGCCCCTGGAGAGGCCTCGTCCCCGATGTCCTCACTTTATGGCCATCCTCAAGTCGGTCTTTGTTTCTCTGTGTTCTGCCCATTTGCACAATGGGAAAACCCTTGCCATCTTCTCTCTGCCTCGGGCTGTAGCTGGCATGGCTTTTGAGGATTCCACCCAGGGTCTCACCTCCATTCACTCATTCAACATTTGTTGGGACCCCCCGAATGTCATAGCAGCGCCCAACTGAGGTTCAGAGACTGTGCGCGACTTGCTCAAGGTCAAAAGGTTAGAGAACGAGCTAGATCCAGTGATGCCATTTGTTATTTATAGATTTTATGCAGCAGGCTTTTTTTTTAAGGTAATAACGCCTATATTCATCATGGAAAAGCCTTCTTCCTTACCCCAATTCCCACGTGCCCAGTTCTTCTCCCCAGAGGTGGCCACTCCTACTGACCTCTTGTGTGTTATTAAAAACAACAAAAGTATATGAAGTGGGATGGGACATGATTTGCCAGGCTCCAGGGCTAGTTGGCTAATAATCATGGTTCCTTGGCAGGAGCCAGGCACACATGTAGGAGCACTGGTGGTGAACACACGGAACCTTCTCCAGGTGTCGCCATGGCCTGTGCTGGACCTGGGAGTCGGGAGCCTTGCACAGTCCACTCAGCTTTGCAGGACACACACTTCTCTTTCACTAGCTGAGCTCAAGACATTCTGATTCCATTGGCCTGGTGTGATGCCCAGGAATCTGAAATTTGAAAACCACCCACATAATTCAGATGGGCCCCCATGCCTGGGCATCACACCAGGCCAATGGAATCAGAATGTCTTGAGAGAGCCGGGGAATTTGTCACCTTAAGCCTCCCTAATATAATATCCTTTAGCACGCACAAAATATCACAAAATTTGTGCATAAAGTAATGCATGTACTAGGAAACTTACTGCTGTCTTGTTTTATTTAGCATATATATTAGTCCGTTTTCATGCTGCTGATAAAGACATACCTGAATATGGGCAAATTATAAAGAAAAAGAGGTTTAATGGACTCACAGTTCCACATGGCTGGTGAAGCCTCACAATCATGGTGGAAGGTGAAAGGCACGTCTTACATGGCAGCAGGCAAGAGAGAGAATGAGACAAGTGAAAAGGGCTTCCCCCTATAAAACCATCAGATCTCATAAGATTTATTCACTACCATGAGAACAGTATGGGAGAAACTGTCCCCATGATTCAATTATCACCCACCGGGTCCCTCCTACAACATGGTGGAACTATGGGAGCTACAATTCAAGACGAGATTTGGGTGGGGACACAGCCAAACCATATCAGCACAGAATTGGGAAGTCCATTCATTTCCATCAAGGAGGGACCAATGGCATGCAAAGGAATACTGCATAGCATTAAAAAGGAACTAGTTGTATCTTCATGTTCTGATATATTGATATATATATCCAAGACGCACCAATAAATGAGAACAGAGAACAGAATGGTGTGTGCAGTGGCTGTCCTGCTTGCACAGAATGCATTCCCCTGCACATACATGGATTGCTCTCTGGACAGTAAGAAAAAATCAGTGGCTGCTTCTGGGGTAGACACTGGGGGACTACTTACTAAATCCTATTTGGTACAGCTGGAAAGTTTTACAGTGTACACGCAAAAGAAAACTTTTCTCACATTAGTGTCTAAAAAGCTCCCAGGTGAATCTGGTGTGCACCCAGGCTTGGTAACCACTAGGTAAGCTGATTTATTGCCACCCTCCCTCGCCCCAGGATCTTTCAGCTCTAAAGCTCAGGTCCTGGGATTAGTGAACAAACATATGTGATAGTAGTGGGTAAACTATAGGGTCCACCAGAAATGAGGTGTCACCAATTAGTGGCTCAGTCTGGAAAGGTCACATTGATGGGAATAAGTCATTGTGTACATTTCATAAGTCCTAGCCCCGGCCAGTGGATACCAAGCAAGGGCTATAACTGGCTCCATGGAATAGTTGACCCCTGCTTTTTCAGAAGAAAGAAGGGGATCTATAATGGGACACACCAGCAAGCCAGAACAGAGAATACCTGCGGGACGGGTCCTGCCCAGGCCTCTGTGCCCTTTTACACATGATGTCTTCAAGCTTCCAGTTAGTGACTGCTAACTCTCAGCTAGCACTGAACCAGGCATCTTCATGGGCACTGGTCCTCTGAATCTCATACCACCATATCATCCCCATTGTACAGACAGGAAAACTGAGGCTCAGGGGTCGCATCACTCACCTTTTAACCTAGGTCTTTCTGACTACAGAGCCTGCCTGCATCCCGCTATATGAATGACCTGAGTGAACTCTGCGGCAATGGGACCTGTTGCTCTAGGGTCCAGTGTTTCCAGTATTCTTTTCCAACTTCACCTCTCCCCGAGCCCTCAGGGATCCAGCCCCAAGTAAACCCCCATGGAGTTTACTTTCCCAGGTTCTTTCTGCCCCAAGTTCACTCACTCCAGCCCAGTGTGGGGGCAGCGATGTGGCAGAATAATAAAGGCACCTCATGGCCCCCTGATTCAGACGGACTCAGTTTGTGACCTTGGCAAGTGCCTGATCCTCCTTGGGCCTCGGTTTTTCCATGAATGCAAAGGGAATGAGAACGGTGTCTGCCACAGGGGT